ATATACATTATATTGTATTACATCATTATACAGATTTGAGACCTTTAGCAGATATTTGCCTCATTAGGGCTGGAGATCAGAGTGTTCTTTAAACATTAAGATAATCTATATCTTCAGCCTGATAAGTAGCATATGTTTGATGTCAAGGGTCTTAAAGGAGGTTAGTTTTCCTGACTGCTGAGGAAACATAATGAGAGTGTTTGGAGCTGAAAACTCAACCAGAGCACTCCATGTAAATAACAGGAATACAATATGAATAGCAAGACAAGTGGCAGCAGATATATGAGAAGTTATAAAGCATTTTAGTTGTGTCTGTAGTGTATACATGCAGTCTTTCTAAAAAAACATTTTATTGCTTTATAAATTAATAAATACAAATTTTATTTTTTAATATATCTACTTCTTCACAAAAACATTTGTACGTTTGAATTAGTAAATTATGCTGTAATTTGTCTTGAATAGTGTGTTTATGTGGTTTATGAGAACACAAATTTGTATAATGACATGGGTATGACAGAGGTATTACAATGTGAAGGTGGTTTTTGAGGTCACTTTATGTGTCCCTGTAATTCAAAATGCTTATAAATCATACAGAATTAGTTTTTTTTAATTTAAAAATGCAGACAGTGATAGGTTTAGGTGTACGTTTGGTGTAAGGCAATATAATATATAATGTTTGTACAGTATAAAAACCATTACACCTATGGAAAGTCCCCGTAGACCATAAAAAAACAATGTGTGTGTGACATTAAAAACTACCTGCCTAATATAGTGTAGGCAAGTTGCTTGGTGAGGCCTTCATGGATGGGATTTGTTGGTCCAGCATATCCCATAGATACTCAATCAGATGGAGATCTGGGGGAGTTGGAGGCCAGGGCAATACTTTAAACTCTTTGTATTCCTGAACAATCTACAACAAGTCTGCAAAAATCTTTAGGTAGGTGGTTTTCATCCACATGAATACCTGGACCCAAGGTTTCACAGAAGAATGCCGACCAGACCTCCGTTGGCCTGTCTTCTTCTCACAGTGCATCTGCTGCCATCTCTTTCTAAGGTAAACAACACAAGCATCTACCATCCACCTGATCTAAAAGAAAACATGATTCATCAGAGCAGGCAACCTTCTTCCATCGCTTCATGGTTTAAATCTGACGCTCACGTCTCCATTGCACTCCCAGTGGTGGACAGGGTTCAAGTCATCTTTATTTACATGCATTTTACAGTGTTAAACAGGGAAAATGTGTGCTGATACTGCAAGAATACAATAGAAAATAGTCAGAAGTCAGTTCATTGTTGATTCAGTGATGTCATCCTAATCATTTAGTGCTCTTTCAATAGTGTCTGTGCAATAAAGTCAACAACATTCCACATAATATTTCAATATTTCAACAGAAATTAAGTGTCATCAACTAAGCAAGCCAAAGGCAACAATGGCAAGGAACCAAATGTCCATCGGTGACAAAAATTGAGAAAAAAAACCTTGGGAGAAACCGGGCTCAGTTGACGGGGCAGTTCTCCTCTGGCTAGACGAAACCAGCATGGTGTGGTTTAATTCCAGGCTGCAGCGCAAGTCAGATTGTGCAGAGGACTCCTCTGGTTCTCATGGTCTTGTGCCGATGGCCGACGAGGTCTTTGCAGGGGATCTGTCTCTAGGGTTCATCTAGCTGACATGGTCTCTGCTGACATTTAGGGCTGTAGAGGTCATCTCTAGGTGCTGATCCACCATGTGGTCTGGATACGGACTGGATCTAGGTGGCTACGTTGACCTTGGAATTAGAATAAAACAGACCAATGTTAGTCTGGGCAATCTGACAATCTGCAGCTACGCATCTCCATATGCAGAAAAATGTGATGCACTGTATGTTCTGATACATTACTATCATTGCCAGAATTAAGTTCTTCAGCCGTTTGAGCTACAGCTCTTCTGTGTGATTGCACCAAATGGACTAGCCTTCGCTCCCCACATGCATCAGTGAGCCTTGGGAGCTCATGATCCTGATGACAGTTCAAAGGTTGTCCTTCCTAGCAGCACTTTTCTAGATACTAACAACTGCATACCGGGAACAGCATACAAGACTTGCTGTTTGCTCTGACCCAGTCATGTAGACATCATTATTTGGCCCTGGTCAAAGTCACTTAGATGTTTTCTCTTGCACATTTTTCCTGCTTCCAACAAATGAAACTGAATAACTCTTGATTTCTGCTGTCAAATATGCCCCACTCCTTGACAGGCACCATTGTAATGATATAATCAATGTTGATCTCTTCACCTGTCAGTGGTTTTAATACACTTTCCCTCCAGTGAGCTGTTAACCACTGTGACCGGATCATTTAATCAATGAACTGAAGAAGTGGATCAGATTCATAAACGAAACAATAGTTTTGTGAACCGGCTCAATCAATTAAGTGGAAAGATCTGACTGACAAGAATCATTTGTTCAGATGTAAACAATGACAGTTGGCGTGAACTAATCATTTATAAACATACTGTCAAACTGTCAAACACTGGGAAACAAAAATCCTTGTGTACCCTCCTACCTATATCACAGAAAACTAAATAAAGCATACTTGACTTAACTGAGGCTGGCTGAATCTTACATATTGCAAATATATAAGCCTATGTTGTATATCTGTTTCCTGGCAGCAGTGTGTTATGTTGTTCTTGGACAGATAGCGCTCACGCACAGTTCATTCTTCTCTTCCAAACTTGGACACAGAGCTGCGCACATTATATAATGCCATCTAGTGGAGACTGGCCATTGTTGAAACATCTCGAGATATGTGAACATAAGTTAACCAGTGTGATCACTTTTGGTGCTGTGAACTCTCTTGAACCATTCTGAACAATCACACTAGTTCAATTTGTTCATGTCCCACATGGTATATAAACATTTCCACCACATTTCAAATGATGTATTGTGTTTAATCGGATTCTGTAAAAAAAAAAAAAAAACCTGTGAGGGTACAATTCATCAAACATTAAGGTCCTCAGACTCTTCAGCATCAGGGTGGAGCTAACCAATGAAAGGTCTGATTTTGACAGCAGCTTCTAAGTGTTTAAAAAAAAAATATATATATATATATTTTTTTTAAATGTAAACATGAGTTTAAACACCAGCTATAGTCTGACTGGTGTGAATGTGATATATGCAATTTTTTCAGAATGGAAATTGAAATTCTGAGGAAATAATGCATGTCTACAATCTCTGCCAAGAACGTCAAGGTCTGGCTGGTTTGCATGTTCCAGTTTGACCCTGCTTGTCGATGCCATAACTACACCATTATAGGGACAAAATGAGGGTTTCCTATTGAATGCCATTCAAAAGTAGCCAAACATTCTGACAAAATATTTTTGCAAGAAATATTAATTTAATTAGATACTATATTTATATCACATATAGAAAACTTATTTTTAAATGACATTTTACTGCAACTACTGATTTCTACCATCCTAGTCTAGTGCATAAACTCTACTTTTGCTTTTCAGAAAGCACATTATCACGTTTTGTTCAGTTGGTACTTTGCTAACAAGCTACACTTTATAAACAAATCTTTATTTATTTAAAAGAAAACTAAATATTCAATACAGGATTAATTTATTTTGGTGGCAGACACATTCTGTAAGGAACCAGTTTGGCCACAGTCTTACACTGTATTTTCCAGGTTTCACATTCAATAATGTCAACATTCTTTCCATTGAGTAGAATATGTTTGCTATTATAACATTTCATAAAGAATCATCTATCATCTTCATGCAGAAAGGTCATGCGCTGGCCTCACATACTGTATGTAAAGTTTGCACTGTTCATATCTACACAGTTCAGGTCACTGTTCTACAGTAACTATTTGTGATGGCAGAGGGGAAAAAATCCACAGGAGTGGTACACTGTATTTCAAATAATTCTTATTGATTGCACTTTTTAGAGATTGACAGTCCGTCACTATAAACAGTCATTATATGGAAGAAGCTGTATCACATTTGTTTTAAAAAAAAAAAGAAAGAAAGAAAGGAATGTGCACTTTCATTTTGTGCAGAATCAATTTGAAAGTGATGAAAGTTGAATTACAAATGAATCAATGCATTGTTTTCTATTATTACAGTAAAAAGGAAATAGAATAAAAGGTCCTAATATTTCTTGTGCAGCACAACTGCCAACTATAATTATTCTAAATAGTATTCAGTTAGCATACCGGGGGGCCTGCATAAAAAAAACAACATGCTGAGATGATTGTTTAAACATTGCTCAACCTGTAACAGACCTCCAACTTGCCTGTTCACAATAGAGTTTCTCTGAAGAGTTTCACTCATTTCAGATTTTTTATTTATCAGAATGATCTGAAATTCATCCAAAAACATGGGGAGTCAAATCAATGATTTTCACCGTTTATTTTACATCATCTGTTTTGATATAAATGGTCCAGAAAAACTATACGCATACATTAAACTGCTTTTAACAGTCACATATATAATTCCCATAACTGCATTCTTATTTTGTTATGTGGTATGTGTTCTGAAATAGATTATAAACTTCCACTCAGTCGATTGGGCTAAAACGCTTTATTGCACTTGAGACGCCATTTTTTGGACAATCCCAGCATCTACATTAAGTAATTGCAATGGGAGAGATGTCGGTTACATACATCTATTTGTGGAAAATCTACAAGGCAGGTGTTATTCAACACAGAATGTCCACAGGTTCACATCATCATCATCTGCATCAGATATACACTCTTAAAAATAAAGGTGCTTCAAAAGGTTCTTCACAGCGATGCCATAGAAGAACCATTTTTGGTTCCACAAAGAACCATTCAGTCAAAGGTTCTTTAAAGAACCATCTCTTTCTTACCTTTTTATAATCTGAAGAACCTTCTTTCACCACAAAGAACCTTTTGTGAAACAGAAAGGTTCTTCAGATGTTAAAGGTTCTTTATGGAACCATTTAGACAAAAAGGTTCTTCTATGGCATCGTGAAGCACCTTTAGTTTTAAGAGTGTATGACATAATTCGAGTTCCATGTTGCACCAAGTGGTGTACAAAACCAGAAGTCTCCTTGTGTTGATGCCTTCAGAATTACTCAAGTACATTTCCTGAGATAATTTGGAAATCTTAAACGTACAGGTTCATATCAACAGAATGGGGCCTATAGACACATGCTGCAGGGCTTCCTCTGAAAAGCCTGAACTTCTGCAAACTGTGGAATAGTAAGACCGGTCACAGATGAGAAACTGTACTTTCACCCGACTGAATTTAAATAGTTACCTCTATTCGAACTGCTCCCATCCGGATTCTGAGCTTCTGGACACTCTTTGTAGCAACGTCCATCAGCAGTGTCCTTGACATGACATCAAATACATGAAAATACAGTACACAATACAGTTTTATAAAGAATTTGTATTCTGGAAACCTTTCAACTTACCCTTCTGGCCAAGGTGGCATCATTACTTTCAGAACTCTCATCATCCTCTTTGAAAGCAAATGTTTTAACTTCAAATCTTTTGAAGTGATCTGGGATGTCCACTCTGTCATCTGCGATTACAGGATGGAAGATGGTCTGTTCAGGGTCTTTAGGATTGGCACATCTGGTTAGAGATGAAGAATTAGAACATGCATCAAGTAGAAATGGTCCACACATGCATACAATGTTTCAAACATACCCATCAACAATCAAATCCCATCTAGGTTTGTATTCTATGTCCTTGGATAGTGTTGCCCAACAGTTTTCCAGGACTACTGCTACCCTGGAGTGATCCATACCTACCTCAAAATATAGAGGCTGTTTCAGAGACTTTAAAACAGGGTAGTCGCCATCATAACAGAAGAGCTGGTAAACCATATCTGCAATGCATGGTATAAAATCTCAAATTATACCATGCATTGCTCAGACTAACAGGCATTTGTCTTAAGTGAGTATCTAGTTACTTTTCACAAAAAGTTGCTGCAACCCTGGCTTATCAATGTAATTTAAAGTCATCATGAAATTATAATGGATCCAATTTACTTTATTGGGCATTCCCGGACTTGCAAATGATTAATGATTGCATGTTATTCCCAAAACCAAAACATTAGCCATTAGCAAAGTAGTTTGCATACCCTTGCATACCCTTAGAAAGCCTCAGGCTAACAGTGAGTTCACCCTTCCCAACATCTGCACAACATCTCTTTAAAGTGCGAAACAGCATGAAAGATCATGCTTTGGGTGGCGTTTGCGATATAAACGCAGGATACCGTGAACCTGTTTGAGATGAGCAGACTTAATTTGCATTTGAGTCATTGTTGTACTTCACCATACAACTGCTTAATGTTTACAACTTGAATTATTGTGGTAACAATATAAAAGGTATTACTATAAAAGTCATTACTAAGCTTACACTGATACATCAATAAAGGAAACTGAAGTGAATTTAACTCTTTAAATGGACAAACATTTGCCAAACACCTGTTATGCTCATTAAATGTTAAGTGAATTTTCGAATTCTTCGTTAATAATGAAATACTTTCATTAATAATGAAATTACTTTCTGTGAATTACTGTTAATGCAGACCTAAGAGGCCATTTTTACAAGGACTGGGCATCAGACCTTTTGTTGTGCACATTTATTAAATTAAACAATTTTTCATTTTTTAGTAGTTGATTTATTCGGTTTAGCAAAGGGTTAAAAACGGAGAGTTAAAGGGTTAGTTCACCCAAAAATGAAAATTAGCCCAAAATTACTCACACTCACGTCATCCTAGGTGTATATGACTTTCTCCTTTCAGACGAATCCAGCCGGAGTTATATAAAAAAATTGTCTTTGATCTTTCAAGCTGTTTAATGCCACTCAGCGGGTGTTGCATGCATCAGTCCAAAATAAATTAAATAAAAAGTGGCCATCCATAAAAAATTTTTTTTAAAAAAGTATCTCACACAGAACCGGGGAGTGAACGAAGTCCTCCTGTAGCGATTCGATGCGTTTTAGTAAGAAAAATATCCATATTCAAAATGTAATAATCACTTTAATGTAGCTTGCGCCAACAGTTGTACACAGAAACCAGTTCCGGGCGGATGACGTATGAGTTCAGTGTTGCGCATGCACTGCTCAGAAGTGACGAACGCGGAAGCGCAGGGGAGAGATCAAAACAAAACAACGGTCACTTATTAGAAGTACAAAATGAGGATTTGTAAAGAAGAATGTCGGAGGATTTCGATATAAGCCAAGAGGAGACTGGTTTTCCTTTGCTAAAGTAAGGAAACTTTGCTTCCTTTGCTCCCGTTAACAAACGTTGGTTTTCACAAGATTGCATGTGCAACACTGAACTCATAAGTCATCAGCCATATTCAGCTGCTTCCGTGAACAACTGTTGGCGCAGCTACATTAAAGTGATTATTACGTTTTGAATATGGATACTTCTCTTACAAAAATGCATCGATTCGCTACAGGAGGCCTTTGTTCACCACCCGCAGCCGTGCGAGACATTTTATTTTTTGGATGGGCGCTTTTTATTTAGCTTCTTTTGGACTGATGCATGCAACACCTGCTGAGTGGCATTAAACAGCTTGAAAGATCAAAGACAATTTTTTATATAACTCCGACTGGATTCATCTGAAAGAAGAAAGTCATATACACCTAGAATGACTTGAGGGTGAGTAATTTATGCGCTAATTTTCATTTTTGGGTGAATTAACCCTTTAAAGGTTTAAACACTACATGCTTGTTTCAATGGACAAAGCTTTGTGAGGCATGCATTGTTTAAAGAAGAAACAAACAAAACAAAACCCTAACCTGGCTAACCTGTATTCCTGATCAGGGAGTACTGTCTCTGGCAAAGGTACATCGCTCTTCCAGGTGACTTCATTCTCGTATATCATGGTGTCCTCAACAAACTGAACAAGCTAAAGAGTTAATGAATGACCTTAATACATAAAAGTTGTGTGAATATTTGATGCAAGCACCTTTGTACCTTTCGCGTGGTTCCACAAGTGGTGACACCAAAGTGAAAATAAGCGTAGTAGTCTTGACTGTAGGAGGGTTTGCAGGACGGGCCTCTTAGAGAGAGTTCACCGGGAAGAAGATGTGGGACCGATTCCAGTTTGGGAAGCACCACAGTTATTGTTCCATTAGAAAAACACTCTGGCACAACAACATAGAAACTCACAATCGTAAAATAGCAACAAGACATCATCACGACGTAAAATACAAACCAACCTGACAATATTACAAAAAAGGGGCAGGCAAGGGAGAACTCTCTGAAGCTCCAGTTATTCAAAGAATCGTACATTTCCACATCAATTCTTCCCATGATTCCAACCAACTGAACAGACTTGAAAAAATAAAAGGTATAAAAACAGTCAGGGGAATTAAGAAGGTGGTAGCCAATGGTCCATAGAGATTATAAGAAAACTTCTACTTTTGTGTTTCACAGAAAAAAAGCAGCATGTGTCTTTGAAACAACTCAAATTATTCAACTACGTTTTTGGGTCAACTATCCCTTTGTATATGTGTGGCATCACTTATGACTGGTAAACTGTGCTGTCGTAAGCATTACTAATCACTAGTGTAACCCAGGAAATCTGAAGAATACCTCAAAAGCCACAACTGGTGCTAGGAATGGCACAATGATTTCGAAATGGGTTTCATTTGAATGATGCTCATACTGCTGTAAAATCTTATTATTCAGCTCCAAATGTCCCAGATGGATCTTTATTTGGAAACTCCCATATTTGACAAATGTTGAAGCTGTCCTCATTGCAACGTCCCTCTACATGTGGAAGGACTGCAGAAAAAGGACACAGAAGGTAAATATCAGCACATCCCAGTTATGCACAATTCTGCTCCTATAGAGATCTGTCTTGATCTGCATAGTTTACTGTAGTCCCCCAATGACAATGGTTAACAAAAAAATTACCATCAGACAATGCTGATTGGCTGATGAAACCATAATAAGGCACTATTACCACAATGTTGTTTTTATATACTACCTGGATCACATAAGCTAGTCAAAACTTGACCCCTTGGCACAAAGGGAGATCTGCAGGAGCAGGACCTTGCTCCACTCTTTTTCTTAAAAGGTCTTTTTCAGTCTAAAGGTCTTACCAATGTCAGCTAGGATTTTCCAGAGTTGCAAGTTAGGTATAACTGTGGGCTGTTAAAAAGGAACAACAGAAGATTCTGTGTCAAAGAAAATCATGAAATTATTTATGGAGAATGTGAAAATGTAGAAGACCCACTTACTATTCCTGAACCCCCCACCCCCCCAAAAAAATGTAAGTGGCACTTGCACATGCAATGCTAGGGTAGTTGCCAGGATAATGCTATATGGTTGGCAAAGTGTTGGGAGTCTTTTTAGTGCATTGTTATATACTTGCTAGGGAGGTTTTTAGTGGTTGCTAGGCCAAAATAGGATCTCATCCCCATTCCCTATTGTGGGAACTTCCCTTCAGTCTATAGCTGCTTTTGTAATTGCATAGCATCTGAGTAGATACTTTACAAGGAACTTACTTTGTTACCATTCAAAAATACTATATTACATATATATTATTAGTATATTATACATATACTACTATATTACATCTACCGTGTGACCTAGTTGCTATGCTTCACTGCCATTCAAGACTTCACTCCCATGGCCTCATGGGATAGTAAATCAATGGATGCACACTCAAAAATATTGGCAGTTGTAGTAAACCAGCCGGGTATTTCTGACATACCATTTCATGAATACCAATGAAAAATAGATATACTACCTGTGTTGGGGTAGTTACAAGTAACAAGTTATGTAATCAGATTACTTTAAATAACTAGTAAAGTCACATTACTTTTTATTTTTAAAAAAATAAACTTTTTCAAATAAGTAACGGCAGTTACTTTTCCCCCTCTGTTGACTAACAGCTCTCCTGTACTTATGTTCAGAGAAATCAGGAGTAAGTACAGAGGCAGTGTGCACGCTGTGTGAACATGATGGTTACTGCAGTTGTAAACTGAATGTGAACATACATTGACTCATCTCACTTGCACAAAAATTATTACAAACAGTGAAAAGCAAACTCAGAATATTACAAAAACCCACAATAATTAAAGTAAACAAAAATCCTTTATGTATTTAATCCCATTTTATTAACCATTGCTGCTGACCATCAATGATGTAATTTAACCATACTACACAATTTTAGTATGAAAGGGCTTTTACATTTGCCAAAAATATAACTTTTTTATATTAAAAATGAACAAGCAAGCCCAAGCCAGATGAGGAAAAAGTAACGCCAAAGTAATGTAATGCATTACTTCTCATAAAAAGTAACTAAGTGATGCAATTATTTACTTTTTTTAGGGAGTAACGCAATATTTGTTAATCAGTACTTTTAAAAGTAACTTTCCCCAACACTGTATACTATATTGTTTGTAAGTACACATTTTTAGATTCAACTAATGAGATTTCTTTTTTTTTCCCAGGCAAAGATCTTCCAGTGCGATTGCTTGCAATAGTAACGTCTAGGTTACTTGTGTAACCCTCGTTCCCTGAAGGAGGGAACGGAGACGTTACGTCAGTCGTGACTGACGAATTGGGATCTCGCCCAAGAGCCCAATCACCTTCGAGTGTTAACTAAACAAGCCAATGACAGTTGGCGTGCGTGTTTCGCCATGCGCATCCTGCCCTGTAGCGCGGGTATAAAAGGAGAGCGCGTGGAAACGCAAATCAGTTTTTCGCTGAGGAGCCGAGACTACGTGCCCCGGCCGTACAGCAGTGGTACAGCATCTGTGGCGATGGAACGTAACGTCTCCGTTCCCTCCTTCAGGGAACGAGGGTTACACAAGTAACCTAGACGTTCCCTTTCAGTCAGTCACGTTCTACGTTGGGATCCATATGGAAAACGCCACTATTGCTGACCCCCTCCAGTGCCCTGCGGAAGCCGGCATGTCCCCCCACACCAGCTGGGGGGGAAGATAGGACAGCGGCTAGGCAGAGGTGTCCGCCACTGCTGTTCCATACAGTGGTACATAGGATAACACTGGGAAAGCGTACCCAGTTGGGACGCCATGGAAGCCACATCCCGCACATAGGAGGTATCATGTGGAAATACACATATGGACTGGCCCCCAGGCAGTACTACATATGAGAGCATCAATTCGGGGAACCAAGTCTGACTGGGCCAGTATGGCGCTACCAAGAGGACCTGCTCCTCATCCTCCCTGACCTTGCACAGAAGGCTGTGTCTGTGCGAGAAGGCTCACTGGGGGAAACGCATATTTGCGTAGGCCCCGAGGCCAGCTGCACGCCAGTGCGTCCGTGCCGAGGGGTCCCTCGGCCAGAGAGTAAAACAACTGGCAATGGGACGTGTCCGGGGAGGCAAACAGGTCTACCTGAGCATCCCCAAAGTGTCTCCAAATCAGCTGGACTGTCTCGGGGTGGAGTCGCCATTCTCCCGGAAGAGCGGGCTGACGTGAGAGCTCGTCGGCTGCACGATTGAGCTCGCCTGGGATGTGAACGGCGCGAAGCGACCTCAGATGCTTCTGACTCCAGAGGAGGAGATGGCGGGCGAGTTACGACATGCGACAGGAGAGTAGACCGCCCTGGTGGTTGATGTACGCAACGGTCGCAGTGTTGTTCATACGGACCAGTACATGCTTGTCGTGCAGCACCGATTTGAAGCGGGGCAGAGCTAGCCATAATGCTTGCAACTCGAGGCAGTTGATATGCCACTGCAGCCGGGGCCCCGGCCGGAGCCTCGCAGCTGCATTCCCAATGCACATGGCACCCCAGCCCCTGGCAGAGGCATCTGTTGACACAACAACATGCCTGGATACTTGCCCAAGGGACACCCCTGTCCGAAGAAAGGTAAGATCTGCGCACGGGCTGAAGGTCCGACGGCAGCACGGGTTGACAGAAACCCGGTAAGTGCCGTGCCATGCCCATCTCGGGACCCGGTCGTGAAGCCAACGCTGAAGCGGTCTCATATGAAGCAACCCGAGCGGCGTGACAGCAGCTGCGGATGCCATATGCCCCAGGAGCCTCTGAAACTATTTCAGTGGAACCGCCGTCTTGCACTGGAAGGACCCCAGGCAGTTCAGCATCGACTGTGCACGTTCTACTGAGAGACGTGCCGAGAGGTTGACCGAGTCCGGCTCCATGCCGAGAAAAGAGATCCTCTGCACCGGGGAGAGTTTGCTCTTTCCTCAGTCGACCCTGAGGTCGATCGCTGCGAACCAACCGAAAGTACGGATGCATTGAAAGATGCGTTTCTGTGTCAACATCCTGAACGGGAGCTTGTGAAGGGCCCGGTTCAGTACGCGCAGTTCCAGGATTGGTCGTAACCCACTGCCTTTCTTGGGTACGATGAAGTATGGGCTGTAAAAACCTGACCTCATCTCGGCTGGAGGGACCGGCTGTATCGCGTCCTTCGCCAGCGGGACCGCAATCTCTGCACGCAAGACAGGAGCATCCCTGTCCAGCACAGAGGAGAACCGATTGCTCCTGCCGGGCGAATTGAATCGCATAGCCGAGTCTGACGGTTCACATGAGCCAGCGAGACGGCCTGGGGCATGTTTACCAGGCCCCCAGCGACCGAGTAGGCGGGACTAGGGAAACCACCGACGTACCCGCAGTGGGGCAGTGCAGGGGAACACAGGGACCCAACCCGGGAGGCTGTGCGTCCCAGGGTAGGGTCTGAGTGCGCGGCGCGCCACTTAC